AGTATTCTAAAAAAAAAAAAAAGTCTCAAAACACCTAGATCAAAATTTTTATTTTTGGCTAATTTTTTTTGTTAGTTCCCTCAAAAGGGACGTAAGAGATTTTTGATAAGTTTTTTTTTATTATGTGTGATTGTTGTGTCTTTAAAGTAGTTTTTCCTAATCCCAAAAAATGCTCTCTGTGTGTTCTTTCGTCTTTGTAAATTGGCTCTATTTATAAAGATAATATGGATATCATAATTTCAAATTTTCTAGGATTATTGTGGACCTTTTGGGGTATGCTGACTTTGTTGAAATCTCAAAGGCAAAAGTCAAACAAGGAGGCTAGCAGGTCATTGCATTAAAATTTTAACATTTTCTTACCTCTGTTTAATCCGATTTCTTTTAAATATTGACTCGTTCCTTGAGAAATTTGACAAAAATACTCTTAAATGCATAGATATTCAATGTGTAAGTGAAAATATGTAAAATGAGGAATTTTGGCACTTTTGGACTTATTTTGGAGGATTTTTTGTGTAAAAAGTCATGAAATACTAAAATTAGTATGCTTGTGCTACATTGTCACTTATGGGAGTTTATTTTGCATTTTTTTATAATCTCTTTACCTTAATTTAGTTTAATTGAACTTGGTTTCAAGCTTTTAATTATCATATTTGCCATTTGGAAATGTCTAGTTCATTAGTACATTATTACCTTTGTTGTTTTATAAGTGCTAGAAAGGTAATAGGTGCATTAATGTAGTTACCCATTTTTGGTCTTGTAACTTTTTCTAGATTTTACTAGAACCTATAATGCATAAATTGTCCACTCAATGGTCTATATTTTGGCAGCAAAGGGATAATTATTTACAATTGGCACCAAAATCAAGAAGCAAAGTTCAATCAAGGCCGTTAGATGCAAGTGCCATGTGATTAAGGACTTGTGGCACCAATTTGGAGATTAAAAAAGAGACCAATTGAAGTTGTTGAGCTAGCCATTTGAATGGTTTTAATTAGACATAATGTTGACTTTTTGGAGCTTAAAAGTTAAAGAGGAGAAAGCTCGAAGTAAAGGAAAGAAAGAAAAAGCAAATAAGGAAGCAAAGTAGTTAGATGGAAGGATCTAGAATAGTTAGCAGTTGAACTAGATTTTTCCTTCATTTTGAGTGGTTAAAGCACCTCCCATTTGCTTGTAAGTAGGGGAAAGTGGCTGACCATTATGAGACTTTTAAAGATTTTTTAGCTAGTTTTTACATTTTTTCTTATTCCTGTATTTACTTTATTTTCTCTCCAAATAGTTTCCTCCTTGTTCTTTTAGAGGGCTAGGAGAAAATTTTATTTATTTTCCAACAAAGTTTACTTTCCTTGCCTTTATTTGCAATGAACATTATGATTCTTTCAATAAAAGTTTGAGATCTTTAAGTTTTCAAATTCAATTTGATGCATTTTAACTCATTTCTCAAATCTATTTGGCAAGCCACGTTTGACCTATGTGCGGTTTTTCTACTGAATCTTGATCAAATCTTACTTGTTTCTATCCAAATTTTTTCTGTGGATTTTTTAATTCATTCTTCTACAAATCTAGAAAAGATCATAGGCAAATTAATTCTACACAATTCCAGAAAAATCTTCAAATTTTTGGTTGAATCTAGAAGGTAAGCTAGAGCTTGAGTGAATGACAATACTTCAAGTGACTTTTCTCCTAGCTAGGCATTTGGTTTGCTATTTTTTTACTTTGCACTCTTTAATTCCTCAATTTACTTGATTAATTTTATTTGATTGCATTTAAATTCATGCATTTGAATTCTATTGCGCTAATTTTTCTTATAACTCTTCTGTTTTTTTATTCTTGCACTCGATTTGAATTTGAGTTCATTAAGATAATTATTTGTTGATTCATGTGATTTCTTTGTTAATCTAGGTAGTAAACTTGTAGATCTATGTTGTCGTAATTCAATTTGAGTTCATTCCATCTAGAGAGTTGTTGATCTAATTTTTCTTTCATGAATAAGTAGTGTCCAACATTTATATTCAGTTTCAGTTTTTTATTCTTTTGGTTAATTCTTGCAATTCCTTTCATTACTTATACTTCAATTCTGTTTCCACTTTAGATCATTTATTGTTTTTACAATTTCCTATTCAAATTCATTCAATTTGCATTAGCTTAGATCTAAATTCCTTGTTGAATAAACAGTTTCTAGTTTTGCACTTAAGTTTCAATTTGAATGTTCTTTTTTAGATCTTGCATTTTTAAAACTTCAATTTCATTTCAATTTTGTTTCAATCTTCATTCACATTTTGTTTGTGTAATTTCCAGCTTGTTTAGTTCATTTCTTAAAAATTTTCTAGAAGTTTTTCTTGTTGAAAGTTAGGAGTTAGTTTAAGTTAGTTACATTAAGTTGAAGTTAAGTAATTTGGTTTACTTCTTTTAGTTACTATTTTTGTTGATTTTTGTTCTTGCTATTTTTTATTCTTAGATTATATTTATATTTCAAATCATGTTAAGTTCAGTTAAATTTATTCAGCTACTGTTTTTGTTGAATTTTCCAAGTTGCTTATTTTACATGTTATTAGTTTACTTCTTGTTAGAAATATGCTTCGTGTATTGTTCGATTTTACTTTCCTAGTTAGCTTAGTCCTATGTCTACCTTTGGACTAAGCCAACTTTAGATAAAGTGTGGGGATAAAAGGTACTTAGGCTAAGAACTTTTTTAGCTAATCATCGTGGGATCAATATCTAGATTTTTTTTAGTCTCATTATTACTTGAACTACTTGTGTGCTTGCAAAAATATCGCAATCAGCAGTGAGGCTAAAATTTTGGGGGGAAAGGAGAAAGAAAAACATGGTAATGTAGAAGAAACAAAAAAATGAAGAAAAAACAAAAAAATAATAATTAAAAATGAAAATAAAGTAAAATGATACAATACACATGATAAATTCAATTAAGTTATTCAACTAGACCTTAATAGAATCGAGAATCAATTCAAATTTGTCTTGACATATCACTTGGTTTCCCAGACAAAATAAATGCTTACAATTGCCATTTTTTGCTCATTCTTGAGAATCAGAAATAGGGTAAAGACCAAAAGACAATAATTTTGTTTGAGTGAACGCATATTGAACAAGAATTTTTTTTTAAAATGTTCTTAGCAAAAAATATGTTGTTGCCTTTGGAGAAAAACTGAACCTCCATAAACTTTTTTGTTTGATCTTTTTACTATACTCTTTATTTCTCATTGTTATATATTTGTGCATCAATTTCATATATTTATTATATTTTTAATTTCCCATTTTACATTTAATTAAAATTTAATTTTGAGAAAGAATTTAGAGATAATCCAATTCACCAATTTGAATTGTTATCCATACTTGAGCTAATAATCCCCATCAAATTTAAAATCATTTCATTGTTTTTCGATAACATCACAAGCATGTCCTAGTTAAATATATGATTTTCCAATTCGAACATTCATATTTGATTAAATTGGCTTTTAAGGCACGTATCGTAGGCTAAGGTGAGAGGTTATAAAAAATGGATAAAATAGGCCAAAAATATGTTTTTGAAGTGTTATAAAACCAAAGGATCATTTCTCATAATGTGAAACACCTTGGCATTTTGCCCCATTCTTCATCAATTCTCTTTTTTCTTTTCTCATTTTTCTTTCTTTTCTTCAAAATTTTCTTTTTTCCTTTTTTATTTTGTAGTTTTCATCATTTTCTTTTCTAAGAAGAATTCAACAAAAAAGAGTTTTTCTTTTTTTACGCTTGAGATCATTTGTGATTGTTGCTTTTTTTTTTTCTTTGAACAAATTTTTACCAAAATTGCCCAATAGTATGGAGGGTGATCCTTGGTGAATTTTTTTTTAAAATTATAATAAGCTCAAAGGGGTGATAAATGGATAATTTTAATTTTTATATGTAAGAAAAAAAAATGGTCATTTCTAATATCAAATGTAAATATTCTCATTTAACAACATTTATTTAATAAGAGCAAGCTTATGAATAAATTCCCATAAAGGACCATATATTACTTTACTTTTGCCTTTCAATGGGTAAAACTCTATAATCTCAATAGATTAAGGTCTCAAATAATCAATTCATTAATATGAATGATATTTCAAAATTGAATCCTGAATTATTATAGTGATTATTTTGAAAATTCATTATTCGAAATATGGGAATGATTAAAATATAAATGGAAATATAAAAGAAATGGAATAAAATAAGAAAAAGTAATGAAAATGCAAGGAATCTCTAACATTTACATGTATTTAAAAACTTGCATTATTTCCTAAAAATTGCTAAAGTGATACACAACCTTAAATTTATCATAAAAGCCTTTTTAGAATTATGCATTTATATGGTTAGGCAAAGGGTTTCTAATAGCACCCGTTGTTGCTTCTTTATCAAAATTCATCCAATCAATCTTGACTAAATTTTGTACCTTATATTTAAATGCTATGCGATTTTTTATACAATGACCAAAAATCTCAAGATAATAATCACAAGTAACGTTGTATCATACACTTAGGGTAATAAGGCTTTAAATGCTACAAATAGATTGGTGCAATCATGTGATTTTTTTATTAAATTTTGTTTATTTAAGGATTTAATTGAGTTACAATTAAAAATTAATAACTTAATTGATTGTAATAAAATATTAAGAATTTAAATAATTATTGAATTATAATTCAAAAATATTTTCAAAGCTTTAGTCATTTTAGCATAATATCATAATTCCAATTGAAAAATTGAACTTCAGATCTTTAAGTTAGAGTTTCAAATTCTGTTATCCATTTGTAAACAATGCATTTAATTAATTAATACTTATTTATTTTTATTAGATTAAAATTTATTACATTGTTTTTTAGAATATAAGTTCTTATATTATTAAGTATATAATATATTAATTATTATTAATTGTAATAATTAAGGAAACGACTTTAAGTTTTCACTATTTTGATTTTAAAATTATTTTAATCTTTAACAAATATTTGAAAAAAAATTATATAGACTAGATAATATAAGTATTCTATTTATATTTTGAGCAAAAGGAGCACTTGAAATCCAATGATGTTGATTCATTGAATGTTTGGCTTCTCCACCATTGAGAAACAAGCCATGGAGTGCGCCCAATTTCATTCCCTTTCATTCAGTATTCACTCTTCCCCTCCAAAACCCATCTTCTATAAAACCAACCAATTTTTCAGAATCAAAACCTCCGCAAGATCCAAAAAACCAACCAAATTTCTCCGCAGAAGAAACCCACCACCACCAACAGTACCATTCGTTGAGGAAAACACATTCCCATCCTCTTTGCCGCTCCACAGCAAGAACCCACATGCCATTTACAAAGACATTCAAGCATTCGCTAGACAAAACAAGCTCAAAGAAGCCCTCGTCATTTTAGACTACGTAGACCAACAAGGCATCCCTGTTAATCCCACCACCTTCTCTTCCCTCCTTGCCGCTTGCGTTCGTTCCAAATCCTTAGCCGATGGAAGACAAATCCATACTCATATTAGAACGAATGGGCTCGAAAACAACGAGTTTTTACGTACCAAACTTGCTTATATGTACACTTCTTGTGGCTCCATCGAAGATGCCCAAAGGGTATTCAATGAATGTACTAGCAAGAATGTTTATTCCTGGAATGCTTTGCTTAAGGGCACTGTTATATCGGGTAAGAAACGGTATTTGGATGTGCTTTCTACCTACTCTGAAATGAGGTCGTTGGCTGTCAAATTGAATGTGTACACTTTCTCTACTATTCTTAAGAGCTTCGCTGGTGCATCAGCATTTAGACAAGGTTTAAAGGCTCATGCCCTTTTGATTAAAAATGGTTTCATTGATAGTTCAATGCTTAGGACTGGTTTGATCGATATGTACTTCAAATGCGGTAAGATTAAACTCGCGTACCATGTGTTTGAGGAAATGACTGCGAGAGATATTGTTTTGTGGGGGGCAATGATCGCTGGTTTTGCTCATAATAGGAGGCAAAGGGAAGCTTTGGATTATGTTAGATGCATGATAAGTGAAGGGATATATCCGAATTCTGTTATACTTACTACAATTCTTCCCGTGATTGGGGAAGTATGGGCGCGGAAACTAGGCCAGGAGGTCCATGCTTACGTGGTTAAGTCGAAGAGCTATTCCAAGCAGTTGGCTATTCAGTCTGGTTTAGTTGATATGTATTGCAAATGTGGTGATATGGATTCGGGCAGGCGAGTTTTTTATTGTTCTAGAGAAAGGAACGCGATTTCTTGGACTGCTTTGATGTCAGGATACGTATCAAATGGGAGGCTTGACCAGGCTTTGAGATCAGTTGTTTGGATGCAGCAGGAAGGATTCAAACCTGATGTTGTCACGGTTGCCACGGTTGTTCCTGTTTGTGCAGAATTGAGGGCTCTGAATCATGGGAAGGAGATTCATGCTTATGCTGTGAAGAATTGTTTCTTTCCCAATGTATCTATTGTTACTTCTCTGATGATTATGTACTCAAAATGTGGTGTTTTAGATTATTCTTTCAAACTGTTTGATGGTTTAGAGGCAAGGAATGTAATTTCGTGGACAGCCATGATTGAGTCATATGTGGAGAGTGGGTGTTTACAGGAAGCAATCAGTGTATTTAGGTCAATGCAGTTGTCAAAACACAGGCCAGACTCAGTGGCAATGGCAAGGATGTTCATCGTTTGCAGTGAGCTTAGAGCTGTAAGGCTTGGGACGGAGATTCATGGACAGGTCTTGAAGAAAAAATTTGAGTCAATTCCTTTTGTTTCTGCAGAGATTGTGAAGATGTATGGTAGTTGTGGATTGATTAGCAGTGCAAAGTCAGTATTTGATGCAGTCCCTGTTAAGGGTTCTATGACCTGGACTGCCATTATAGAGGCTTATGGATATAATAATCTTTATGACGATGCAGTTTGTCTTTTTCATCAAATGACATCTGATGGTTTCACTCCAAACCATTTCACTTTCAAAGTGGTTTTATCAATTTGCAAACAGGCTGGATTTGTTGATGAGGCTTGCCAAATATTCAGTATAATGACTCGAAAATATAAACTCAAGGCATCTGAAGAACATTACTCTATAATAATTGAACTTCTTAATACTTTTGGTCGCTTCGAGGAGGCTGAAAGATTCATGCAGATGAGTTCTCTATCATCATGAGAGAGACAGTGGCATCTTCTTTTCTCATGTTTCATTACATAAAGTATGCTCCTGGAACCTCCTTGTCTTCTATTGGATTTTTATGTTCTCTCAATGTAAACAATCTATTGTAACTTAGCATATATAGTGATTATAAGCCCAGAAAAATAAATAAATTGCTAACAATTATCACTTCAAGCGTGTATATACAGAGATATGTCTTTTCAAGGATCTTTGCTGTACTTTTAAAATCACAACTAAAAGAGAGAAGTTTTATATTTCTTATTAGTAGTTTATACAAGTAGTATTCTTTTACAGTCATTCCTGATGTAAAAATTTAGATTCTATGTGTCCTTTGCTTTGTTGTCAAAATAAAGATACTGACAATTCAGGAAAACTTAGTTTTGGAGTTTTATTTTTGCAATACATATAGTTTGGGAATTGTTGATGGCAAATAATTATCCCAACCTCCCTTTTTACAGAATTTGAAAGGAATATCAGTTCTGTAAGTATCACAGGTTCATTGTTTACTTACAACCAGGAATTTCAAGTTGAGCTCCGCTAGAGCTCATTTGAGTTTTACTTGAATTATTGACGGTACAACTGTGTTTCTAAGTGTGTTACTCGTAAAAATAATCTATAGTTGCTCAGAAGCATTCAAAACTTTCCAGTTACTCATCACTTCGATGCATATTGGATGCCAATTGGGACAAACTTTCTGGAATGGTACTAAGACTTGAAAATAGTTCTCATCTCAAGCAAGAAAGGAACTTGTATGTCTTTGTTCCACCTATCCCTATTGAAGATGCTAGTATATAGCAAAGTAGGCCATTGGAAGAAAACCACAAATTTTACTCGGGAAATATGAATGAGAAGAAATTACTGAAGTTTCTAATTCAAGTATATTTCATATTGAGATCAACTTTTCAGTCATAGTTATCTCATACCAATTATATAGTTCTCATTTGTATGACAAATCGGAAGAATTAAAGAGAAGTATAAAAATAATTCTCAATATAAAATAAACATGAATGAAAGGTTGATAATTGGTTTTATATTTATTTTGAATTTAATTGGATTTGATTGATAATATGTTTAATTGGATTTGATTGATAATATGCCAATGATGCGAATGAGATTAATTAACAATAATTCATGGGTTTTTTTTTTTTTTTTTTTTTGGGTACTGAATAAAGAAATTGCATTAACATAGGATCATATAGAAAGCAACAAAAAGAAATTAGTTGTAGATCGTAAAATATCTCTTCTAGAAATGAACAAGATGGAAAAGGATTACTTGAACCATATATGACAGAAATAAAAATATATAATTATTGTAATTCTACTCTCCTTATAGCAGCAATACGAAATTCTCGAAAATATTTGAAAATAAATTAAATTAAACCGAAGGTGGTGGTAGTGTCACGGATCGAGACTCAAGCTCCGAACTCGCGCGGCTCCAGGACCCGGGCACTCACCCGTCCGGCGTCCCAGATCAACCTTCCGTCACGGTTCACACCCTTGTGAGGTATTGTCCGCTCTGGCCCTCCTGACCTCACGATTTTATCCTACAAAAGGTGCCTCATCGTCGGCATACTCCGGGTAAAATTGTTCTCTGAACTCCTTTTGGAACTTTGCCTAGGTTCCAATCTTGGTGCTCCCACGCCTGACATCATCACACCTGCGCCTCCACCATAATAAGGCTACATCAGTGAGATACATAGCAGCGGTGCTTACCTTTATCGCCTCGTCTTGCATGCCCATGGCCTGGAAGTACTGCTCCATACCCCAAAGGTAGTTGTTTACTTCCTTGGCCGCCCTAGTCCCCTTGAACTCCTTAGGCTTGGGGACATCCAATCTGGATCTGGACACTCCAGCAAACATGCCATTCCCAATGGCAGTCTTGCAAGTAACGAGCTCACTGGTAAGCTCTTCCATCTGCTGGCGCATGGCCTCCATGCCATCGCGCAAGGTCCGCACTTCAGCCTCCAAGGTCTGGTTCTTTTTGGTGAACACGTCCAAGCCTTTGTTGAGAGCAACTTCTAGCTCACTTTGGATCTCCTCCCCTATGGAGTCTAGCGATGCAATGTGAGTCTCTACTTCCTCAAGCTTCTCCCCCATGTCGCCCACGGTCACCTCCACCTTAGCTAGCCTACCGTCCATGGTAGACCAGATATATCTAGAACTGGCTTTCTTGCCTCTTCCCCGGCCATGCTCCTGGGCCTTTGGTTGTTGGCTAGCAATGTCGCTTTGGGATGCCATCTCCTCAATCACGATCTAACCTGCACAACACAAACACGCAGAATCGAACTTGCTCTGATACCAACTGTCACGGGCTCCGACCTTAGACTCAGAATCCATACGGCCTTAGGCTTGGAATCTCCTCCTTTATGCCTAAGTCAGCCTAAAACACAAGCGTGCGGGCACTAGAACAATGGGAAGGGCTGATTACGCAAGTTAAAGAGAAACAGGATAAGAAGACAGAATTCTGAAAATGCTCTTGTATTCACTGAAACAGAAGTGTTTGATGGTGTACAAATAAGGGTGGAGCAGCCCTCTATTTATAGTTGAGGCTCCAGCTACAACTTAATGTCATATCCCTAGAATAATGGCTAAAATCATGGGATTATACAGATTACAATCAATCAGGATGCTAACTCCTGATTTTCAGGGTCAACCAAATCTGTCAGGATACTGCTGCTGATCCTGCCTGTTTCCAGAAGCTTCCCTTGCGTGTCCAGCACCTTGGGCCCTTCTGGATGTGGTGCGGGCAACTTGTATGCCAGGCCTTGGTCTCATGGGCTCGCCTGTAAGTCGGGCGGGCGTTCTAAACTCGTTTGCTAGGCTTTGCGCACAGATACCCGCCAGTACACCTGATCTACGGGCCTCAACCTCTGGCTTGCCTGCTAATCCGCCTGATGTGCCTGGTGCGCCCGTCCAGGGCGTGACAGTAGCATCTTGAGATGCGTTGAGATGAGGTTGGGAATTTTGAGGAAGACAAATTTTAAGCTTTGATCGAACTATCTTTAGAAATAAATATGCTGATGCAAGCTGAAAGATAAGTACTGATACCGCCTTTCAAAATATATCTTATGAACAAATGGCGGATTGGACATCGGCACCATGTAATTAGTTTCTGAAAATTTTTACCAATTGTATGGAGCTGATACTTGTTAAAATATGAGACACGTCCAGATATCCAGGCTTTAGTTTAATTTCTGGAGATTTTGAAAGGAATAAATAAGTATGTTTGAAATGAGAAAAACAAGGATAATACCTATAAATTGATAATGTAATATATAATGTTATTTATAGAAAGAGTTTTGTAGTTAATAGACTGTTTCTCCCTAAATTTGTTGATAATATATAATCTATTAAATTAATAAACTTTGAATTACGAATTTTCCTTAATTAACTTATGTTATCACACTTTAAAAATAATATCAAATAAATTTAAAATTCAAATCATAACACAACCTATAAGCCTTTTTACTATTTTTTATACTACAATCATATATATATAAATGAGTAAACTTTGTTTTAAGCAATACCTGACTAGTTTCAAGTACATATATATGAGTTGTGGATAAGTATGGATGCAGTAATCTATGTGAGTGGGAGCAAAATTATCAACATAAATGATTGGTTAAAATTTGTGTTTCACATTTCTTATATAAAATAATAAATGGCTAAAACAAGCTGATGCTACATTCAAAAATATTTATATGCTCAAAATTTTAAATTTTGATGAATATTTATGCGACAAAACATGTTTTCCTTGAACAAATAATAATACATTGCAATAAGAATGGTTGTTGGCATCAGTAGGAAACATGCTGAAACATGAGAATATATGGAATTGCAGCAGTAATATTATTAGCCAAAGGATGAGCACGTAATTTACAACAAACCCATCCATTACTATCATAATTCACTTTTTTTTTTTTTTTTCTGTTTTGAAATTTCAAGAGTAGAATATATATATATATATATATATATATATATATATGAATAGCTATATGGTATTGACAAACTCATTGGTGGTGTAGCTTCACTTGCACCGCCGTTTGATGTGAAGGAGGAAACTTGAGAAATTGGAGTCCGTTGAAAATTAAGTCCATAAATTTCATTCATTAACATATATGAACAAAGAAAGAAAGAAAAAAAGGGGGGGGGGGGGGGGGGCTCTGCCATGATCGATTGAAGCATTGCTAAACATATATGAATCAAGACGAACCAATAAACAAATTAAATAAATTGAATCATTGCCATGACTTATTTTGATCATTGAGATAATATATGTGAAGTTTAGTATTTTTTTAATACAAATTAGGTCACAATTTAAGATAAAAAAAGAGATACAAGTACTGAAATTTGAATTTAGACTTATTGGATACAGCTTTGTAAGTGTGGTTGCATGAATCATCGGAGTTACACTCTGAATTTATATAAGATTTAGTTATATATAAGCATATAAAAATATTTTTAGATGACATATCTAACAAGTTTAAAATTCAAATTATAGTACATTAAGCCTCTTATCTTATCCTCAATTTATGACTTTCTTTATAAAAAAGTTCCGATTACAGAATGAAAGGGGTGGCAGGATTTATGGAATTGGTGAATGGATGAAGACGACAAACTCCCTATGTCTTGTCCGTTATCATATGTATGAACATATAATTGATGGTATTGGTTCAATTGTGTAGGAGAAAGGAATAAGAAATTTACAGATTGAATTTTTAGAGGTTGAAAGATGCTATATTTGGCCTGCTTCTCAGGATAATTCACACTTTCTTTCAATCAGAGATTATATTTCTGTGCATGACTCGCAATCTGACTACAAATTTTAATTTTCACTAAATTCTTTGAACTATGTTTTCATTTACTCTGTCCGTACACTTCCAAACCTTTCAAAAACGCCCTGTGCTCCTCCTCCGTCCAACGTCCAAGGCTACCCTGCAAAAACAAATTGCATCTCATATCTAATATGTAGTTTTCCTAATTCTTTCTTTAACGATTTTTTAATACTATGAATTTTAAGGATGGATTCGTAACTATAGTTGAATTAACACTTAATAAATATATTGGCTAATTAAAAAAAAATTAGCTGGGTAATAACTTAAATAAAGTTAACATAAAATTATTATTTTTACTTTAAAATTATAATTGTTTATGTGAATATAAATACTAAAATTATAATTGTTTATGTGAATATAAATACTAAAATTATAATTGTTTATGTGAATATAAATACTAAAATTATGTGATAGAGTTATTATTTATTACATAATACTGAAATTAAATATATTTATCAGTTTATTTTTAATTTAATTCATCTAAAAATTAAAAAAAGAAAATATGTATTAATTTTAGCTTAAATATCAACAAATATCTAAATAAATAATT